GACATGATAGCACTGTTCCAAAATTTGAGGGGCTGCCACAGAGAGGAAGGGGTCAATCTATTTTCCAAGGCACCCAAAGGCCAGACAAGGAATAATGGATGGAAACTGATCAAGGAGAGATTCAACCTAGAAATAAGGAGAGTTTTTCTCACAGAACAATCAACCAATGGAACAACTTGCGTTCAGAAGTTGTGGGAGCTTCATCTCTGGAAGCTTTCAAGAAGAGACTGGATTGTCACCTGTCAGAAATGGTGTAGGGTCTTCTGCTTGGGCAGGGGTTGGACTAGATGACGTACAAGGTCCCTTCCAACTCTGTTATTCTGTTATTCTAGCACTAAAATAATATTTTTTTAATTATCAGAGCTAAATTTGCAACTCCTTTTCAAAATCCTGTTTTGAAGGAATCATTCATCTTTGTCTCACAAACCTTACATCATAGCTGAGGAAAAATGCCTCTTGATTACTTCTGAATTTGTAACAAACTGAATAAAATATTACCAAATCAAATAAAAAAATTCCAAAGGAAAGTTATACTTCAATATCCTGCATTTTATGTATTGTACTTGTGAAGTGTTTTTTTTTTATGAAATGAGCTTCTAATGAATTGAAATAATAATATTCCAATTATTTGAGGTATTAAAGCTGGGATACTTCTTGCCACTAGCATAATAAATCTGTTATCTTTATTTTTATGGTTTTTATTCCCTCCCTCGAAGAAGAACAATAAAAGACCCAGTGAATTTATGACATAAGCCCCAAATGTCATAGTGGGATTTGTAGATATGGATGGATAGGAATAAATTGTCAACTTTAACTCATGGAATAAATACCACGAAGTATGTTGTTCTTTTTTTTACTTTTTCATCTAGCTGGTTCACAATGCTTAAAAATACTTTTATATTTAGTATCCACTGAAACATTTTCAGGATAATTTTTTTTTGCCACTGTTACTCTACAAGAGCCCTGTGAGACAACCTTTGCTGAAGACCGGATTTATGGATAAGAAGGTTTAGAATCTAGGCAGTAAATCTAAACGGTCTAGTACAGGGGTGTCAAACTCGATTTCATTGAGGGCCACATCAGGGTTGTGTTTGACCTTGGAGGGCAAGGGTGGGCGTGGTCAGGGCTGCCTGCGGTGGCCCGAGTGTTGTATCAGCAAAAACGGGCTCCCTATCTCCATTTTCGGCTGGGATGGCCTCCTGCAACCCTCTGCCAGTGAAAAAGGGGCTTGAGCCGAGCTCCGTTTTCACTGACAGAGGGTTGCAGGAGGCCATCCCAGGCAAAAACGGAGATTGGGAGTCTGTTTTCGCTGGCAGAGGCACCGTGGGCAGGTCCTTCACTGTTTCCAGGGCGGCACCGTGGGGCAGATCTAAACCTACTGCAGGCCGAATCTGGCCAATGGGCCTTGAGTTTGACACCCCTGGTCTAGTATATAAAACTGTCTGTCTGTAATCCCAGAGTCTTTGTGATACTTGATTCGAACAGATTAAACTTTCTTGAAGAAGAGCCCAGAATTTTGCTTTCACTGCATTGCAGATAATGAGATGAAATTATTATTATTATTATTATTATTTATTAAATTTATATACCGCCCTATTCCTAAGGGACTCAGGGCGGTGAACAGCGAACGATAAAAATACATGTAATACAAACATTAATAATAAAAAAAACCAATTAAAATATACTAAACATTCTGGTCCTAGGTAATTCAAGACATCCCAGTTTAAAATAAAATCAAAAAGCAATATAAAGGGAAAGTTAGGCCAGGCCGGCCTGCTGAAACAGGAATGTTTTGAGGGCACGGCGGAAAGTGCGCAGATCCGGAATCTTCTGTATCTCTGGGGGGAGCTCGTTCCAGATGGTGGGTGCCCTCACAGAAAATGCTCTCCCCCTGGGGGCCGCCAGTCGACATTGTTTGGCTGACGGCACCCTGAGAAGCCCCTCTCTATGGGAGCGTACTGGGCGGTGAGAGGCTATTGGTGGCAGAAGGCGGTCTCGTAAGTATCCTGGTCCTAAGCCATGGAGCGCTCTAAAGGTGGTAACTAAGACCTTGAAGCGCACCCGGAAGACCACAGGGAGCCAGTGCAGCTTGCGCAGGAGGGGAGCCACATGGGAGAGCCATGCTGCTCCCATAACTACCCACGCGGCCGCATTCTGGACCAGCTGGAGCCTCCGGGTGCTCTTCAAGGGGAGCCCCATGTAGAGAGCATTACAGTAGTCCAGGCGTGAAGTGACGAGGGCATGAGTGACCGTTTTTAACGAGTCCCGATCCAGAAAGGGACGCAACTGGCGAATCAGGCGAACCTGATAAAAAGACCTCCCGGCCACAGCCGTCAAGTGTTCTTCTAAAGACAGCCGTGAGTCCAAGAGGACGCCTAAGTTGCGAACCCTCTCCGTGGGGGGCAATGACTCATCCCCAATAGTCAGTGATGGCACCAATTGACTATATCGGGACGTCGGAAACCACAGCCACTCGGTCTTGGATGGGTTGAGCCTGAGTCTGTTCCTCCCCATCCAGATCCGTACAGCCTCCAGGCACTGGGACATCACTTTAAGGGCATCATTGGGGTGGTCCGGGGTGGAGATGTATAGCTGAGTATCATCAGCATACTGATGATACTTCACCCCAAAACCACGGATGATCTCACCCAGCGGCTTCACATAAATGTTGAACAGAAGGGGTGAGAGAACCAACCCCTGTGGCACCCCACATATAAGGGGCCTCGGGGTCGACCTCTGCCCCCCTGTCAACACAGACTGCGACCGATCAGATAGAAAGGAGGAGAACCACCGCAACACGGTGCCTCCCACCCCTAACTCTTCCAACCGGTGCAGCATGATACCATGGTCGATGGTATCAAAAGCTGCTGAGAGGTCTAATAGGACCAGGATAGAGGAGCAACCTCTGTCCCGGGCCCTCCAGAGATCATCTACCAATGCGACCAATGCCGTTTCCGTGCTGTATCCAGGCCTGAAGCCCGACTGGAACGGATCTAGATAAGCCGATTCATCCAAGTACTGAGGAAGCTGTCGCGCTACCACACTCTCAACAACCTTCGCAATGAAGCGAAGGTTGGAGACTGGACGGTAATTAGCCAACACTGCTGGGTCCAGAGAAGGCTTCTTGAGGAGAGGCCTCACCACCGCCTCCTTCAAGGCAGCAGGGAAGACACCCTCTCTCAAGGAAGCATTTATAATCCCCTGGAGCCAGCCTCGTGTAACCTCCCGAGAGGCCAGCACCAGCCAGGAGGGACACGGGTCCAATAAACATGTGGCCGCGCTGCCCAGTATCTTGTCCACGTTTTCCAGAGTCACAGAATCAAACTCTTCCCAGATAATATTCTCAAGACTTGCCTCCATCCTCCCTCCCGAATCTACCCAGTCAGAGTCCAAATTTTCCCGAATCTGAGCGATTTTGTCATACAAATATTGTACAAAGTCCTCGGCTCTACCCTCCAAGGGGTCCTCCCGCGCTTCCTGGTGGAGCAGGGAGCGGGTCACCCTAAACAGGGCGGCCGGGCGATTATCTGATGATGCAATAAGAGCGGAAAAATAGTTACATTTTGCCGCTTTTATTGCCACCAGGTAGGTCTTAATATGAGACCTTACCAGTGTTCGGTCAGATTCAGAACGGCTGGCCCTCCAACTGCTCTCCAGGCGTCTTTTCCGGCGTTTCATCTCCCTCAGCTCCTCGGTGAACCAGGGAGCCAGGTGAGATCGACGCCGGGTCAGAGGCCGCAAAGGCACGACCCGGTCCAAAGCTCCAGCAGCCGCCCTATCCCAGACAGCCACTAGGTCTTCAGTCGAGCCGTGTGCCAGAGCCTCAGGAAATGGCCCAAGCTCCGTCTGGAACCTATCCGGGTCCATCAGGCGCCTGGGGCGGAACCACCTCATCGGTTCCGCCTCCCTGCAGCGGGGTGTGGCGGTTCGAAGGTCAAAGCGAAGGAGGGAGTGATCTGACCATGACAAGGGCTCGATCGCTATATCCCCTATCTCGAGACCACTCAGCCACTGACCAGAGACAAAAACCAGGTCCAGCGTGTTTCCCCCCGTGTGAGTAGGGCCATGAACTAACTGGGTCAGGTCCATGGCCGTCATGGAAGCCATGAACTCCTGAGCCACCTCAGACGCCTCACCGACGGATGGCAGGTTGAAGTCCCCCATGACCATAAGTCTAGGGGTATCAATCGCCACCGCGGCTATAACGTTGAGTAGTTCAGGCAAGGCCGCTGCCACGTGGCAGGGAGCCAGGTACGTAACCAGCAGGCCCATCTGCACCCCATGACCCCACTTCACAAGGAGGGATTCACATCCGGCCGTCTGAGGAACAGTGGCCTCCCTCGGACTAAGACCCTCTTTAATGATAACTGCCACCCCCCCGCCCCTTCCCTGTGACCTTGGCTGATGAAATGCCCGGAAACCGGGTGGGCACATCTCTATGAGAGGGACTCCCCCCTCCTGGCCCAACCAGGTCTCCGTAATACCCACCAGGTCCGCTCCCCCCTCCTGAACAAGATCACAAATGAGGGGGGCTTTATTTACCACGGACCTGGCATTGCATAGCATCAGCCGAAGGCCCAGGGCCTGAGGGTCTGTGCCACCTGGGGAACGAGAAGAGCATTGGGGGCCGGAGCGTGCCACCGCTTGAAGACAGCGAGCGCGCACTCCCGCAACTTGATGTGGCCCCCTACTCCCACCATATCTGCCCCTCCCACCTACAGTACTGATGTAATGTCTATCAACAGCACAAGTTCTAACCCTCTCCTTGGCCCCAGATTCTGCATCTCCTCCGCCGTGCTCTTCAGATGGACTAGACCCCATCCCTCGCGGGTTAATCCCTGAACCCATACAACCCACCCCCCTCCCGGGAGGCTCCCCAGCCTCATTATTTACATTGGAAACCACCCTCCTCCCAGATCCCCTTAAAATAGAATTTGAAAAACTATCTAAAAAACCCCAAAGCTTCCGGTTCTTAGCATACCACAATAAATGAACAATATATCTCCTATAGTTGGACATTATTATGTCAGACTGTCAAGGGGGATGTATTGGTTCCCGGAGCTGGGAAATGGGTCTTCTGGATGATGACTTGCAGTTTACTCACACAGGATTTCACTGGAGAATAATGAAGGAGATGGGAAAGGGTAGCAAAAGAAGATTGGAAACTCTATAGACTTCAGTTAGTTTGGTTCTGTGAGGAGAAATTTGTGCCTGAGATCAAAGATGACCCTTTCTCCATTTCTTCCTCCCCCTTTTTTTCTTTTCAGCTTCCAGACAAATCTTCAAGATATGACCTATTCTTTGCCCTTTGAAGGCTGTGGCAATGAGCTCAGCCAGAATGACCTTTCCCAGCCTCCGAAACTTTCTCACAGGGAAGCAGAAATCAACCCAAGGGACCATCTTAGCCCCAGCGTAGCAACTTACATGCTCCAAAATCAGAAACAATCACTCAACAGCTCACTTATTAGCAGGAGAGCACTAGGGGTCAACAGTGATGTAAGACTCCTGGGGCTTCCTTCCTCCTCCTCCTCACACCCACCTCCCCCCTTTGCCTCATTCTTTTAAGCTGCTCAAGAACTTGCAGTTCCATTATTTACTTTCCACATACTTATATATGCTCAGGGACAGGCAGGATGCTTAGTAAAATGGTGCGACCTAACTGGGGATTCATGGTTTTCAAGTGAAGAACTGCAACAATACTGTAGGGATCAAGGGAAGCTTCTAAAAACTGTAGAAGGGAACTCACGTCATGCAACAGCTGTGTTATTCAGCAACAGGAACATATTAGGAGCAAACATGGTAGTGGTAATAGTCCAAACTGCTCATAGCATATCATTGACTGCTCATTTCTCCAACTTCTTGCTAGAGGAGATGCTGCAAAGTACTTATAGAACAGCTGGACTTCCTGTGTGCAGGCACAATGGAAACAGAGAGAAATAAGGGATTTGGAGTTCAGATAGCTTTTCAAAAAGTCCTCGCTCCATATATGATCTGAAGAAGAACCATGAAGGGCAAAATTTAGTGAAGGAAAACAAAAAAAGGGAAAAGCTAAAGGTAGAGGTGTGTTTAGTCTAGGAGAAAAACATCAAGAGATTTATTGTATAGTGCTGAGAAGTTTAAATAACAAAAACGTCTTTAGTATTGAGCGTTAGTTGGTTTGTCTCAGCTGCTTCATAAATTACATTTCCTTCCTGAAGATACTAACCTGGTCTTTAGATACAGAAATTAAGATATACTGTAAATAAATACCTTTTGTTCTCAATGAACTTTTAACATAACACATGCATAATTTGCATACAGTTTACTTAAATGTCATTTGCACAGGGTGTGCAAACCAAGGTAGTTTCAGAACGTCAAAATTCATCACATAACATTCAGCATGAAAATAAGTTGGCTGTTCATTTACTTCTATTGTATAGGAAAGGACAGTCCTTGTGAACAGAGCTTTGCAGAGCTTTTGCTTGGTTGGAAAGGAAGCTATCGTCTTTCTTGTCTGTGTGGCATTGAGGTGAGCCTCAAATTGGAAATCAAAAGGATTTAAATGTTCAGAATCAGTATCATGGCTAAATAGTATCCCATCCCATAGGACTAAGTGTAAACTAATGTGCCTGCTCTTTTATCCCTGCATACAATTTGATAATTAATGATGATTTTAGATCAGTTTTTAAAATTTGGAAATTGTCAATAAATTGTATTACATGTTAAAACATTTTTAGGAGCCATAGATTGGATTCAAAACATGGAAAAGTAAAGGACTGCACACTATTGAAAGGAATATTACAAAGCTTTCCCCAAGCTGACTGGAAATTACAGAGGGTAAATGTGGCAGGCCTGAAGGCCCAACGCAAAAGATGGCTTCCAGGCCTGACATCCAGTTTATTTGGTTGGAAATGCTTGTCGCTGTGACCCATCATGTCAACCTTGACTCTTGGTTATGGCAAGAATACTCCCTGTAACTTTATTGGTAACATTTTCACAGGTAACGTGCAAATACTTTCTTCCTAAGGCTGAAGGAGTGTGTCCCAAGGTCACCAGCCAGTTTGTGTGCTTAAGGCAGGGCTAGAACTGGAAAATCCCAGTTTTTAATTCAGGATTTTTATCCACTACATCAAACAAGTCTCTGGAAAAATTATAGTCTAAAGCACTAAAAAGTCTTTAAACTGCCTATTTTTGAAAATAGCTTCATACTGAACCCTAGCTTCAGTATGTTGTTGTATGCAAAACTGTTGAATGATAAAATTATAGAAAAATACACTTAAGAAAGAGGGGCAAGTACGCTCAAATACACTGTATTTTTTTCTGAATCAAGTCTGTTGTTAATCAAAGCCATTCATTACATATTTATTTAAATAAATAAATAATTCATCAAGTAAAAGCTAGTATTATGGAATTTTAAAAGCCTATTGATCAAGCTTAATTATGGTCAACATTTTTAAATGAAAAAATGAAGGGCTAAAATGGGGTTTACGCATGTTATTAGCCAATAAATAATATTGGGGGTTTTGAGAGCATATTTCTTGTTCTACAGCCGTGATGAGAATTTCAGATCCAATCCTAAAAGATTAGCTACACAACAGCCAGTTATGGAAATGGCTCACACTAAGATGGAATTGTTTAATCCTTGATTTGTGATAAATTAGAATGGCTAGGTTCACACAATATATAAGGCTACAAACTAGCTTACAGATGACAATGGGCTTCTTCTGTATAGCTGGGTTTTAGAAAGGTGCGTCAGTACTATCAGTGGTATAGGAATTGTTTTGAGAAAAGAAATAAATAGTTGTTTTTTCTCTGCACTGCCTCCGTTTCACTTAACCACTTAAGAGCAACTGGTTGATTAGAGTCGCCACTAGAAGAAGTGCAGCAGGGGATAAAGAAATGGATGGAGAGAAGCAGTGGTGAAATCCAAACTTTTTTACTACCGGTTCTGTGGGCTTGGTGTGGCTTGGTGAGTGTGGCTTGGTGGATATGGCAGGGGAAGGATACTGCAAAATCCCCATTCCCTCCCCACTCCTGGGGGAAGGATATTACAAAATCTCCATTCCCACCCCACTCGGGCCAGCCAGAGGTGGCATTTGCTGGTTCTCTGAACTGCTCAAAATTTCTGCTACCGGTTTTCCAGAACCTATCAGAACCTGCTGGATTTCACACCTGGAGAGAAGCCTATGGAATTTGGCCGCTGCCAAACCTATGGAATTGGCCGCTGCCAATACTGCACTTTCAGGCAGACCTACAAATCCTGTTATTAGGATATTGCTGAGACAGCAGAAAGGGAATGCAATGTAAGTAATGAGATTAATGATCTAACTTCATGAGCCCTTGATTAGAATCACTCAAGCAGTTTGACACAATACAGGCAGGCCATTTCGGGCCATGAAAATGCAGATGAAAGGCAGTTGGGAAAATCTGACCATTTCAAGGAAAACAGCACGGCCACTGTTTTTTGTCAAACAGCTAGTTCTCATCATTCCATCACTTATTATAGTACTAAATAGTAAACATGGTTCTATTTAACAATCCGTACCTATTTTCATATATTTGATAGGTGCAGAGAACTCTGCAGATTGGATGAATTTTCAAGCGAAACATTGTCTTGTTTTTCTCTGGTGTAGCCCTAGGATACTATAGGAGAAGAAAGCTGCAACAATAAGTGGATGGCTTTTCAAGCACAAGATTTCTTAATTAATGTTATTCTCAAAATTACTGCTCAAGACATGAATGGAGAGAATACACCAAGCAAGAAGAAGGTAAGCTTAACAGAGAACACTACTCTTTGTGATTAAAGCAATGACTCTTCTTACTGTCATGTATATCCGTTTGACAACTTCTGAAGTAAACCTTTGGGAAACAGTTGAAGAAGGTACTAGATACAGGAAGTAGCCATATTTCACTATCCGAAGGAAGGAACAGCTTGAATGGGCCTGCTGAGGGCAGCTGCATCCCAAAACACCAACAATTCTGTGGTCAGGGTAGGACAGTATGGCAGGCATATGACAACTGAAATCCCCTTCCTACTGAATCTGAGATAGGACAGTTGGTCTGCTGGCCATTCTTTGGGCACTATAAATAAGCCTGATTCTTGGCTCACTCTGCCAGTTCTGAGACATCAGTTGTTCAAAGCAGGTGGAACAGGACATCTGCTTTCCATTTTTGCATTTCCAAATGTCTAAAGACGGGTTTCAAAATCTGATGTTACAGAATAGACCAGTGTTTCTCAACCTGGGCCATTTTAAGATGGGTGGACTTCAACTCCCTGAATTCCCCAGCCAGAATGGCTGGCTAAGGAATTCTGGGAGTTGAAGTCCACCCATCTTAAAATGGCCCAGGTTGAGAAACACTGGAATACACTATTTTTTTTTTCTTTTCTCATCTGCCCTTAATATAATTGATTCTAGTCCAGCCAGTGGTGGGTTTCTACTGGTTTGTCCCACTTCAGGCGAACCAGTAGTGGCAGCGGTGGGAGGCTCCTCCCACCAGCTCCGAATGTCATCACGGAAGGTTCTGCACATGTGCAGAAGCACTGTGCGCAAGCACTCATAGCTCCAAACCGGTAGCGAAGGCAAGTGAAACCCACTACTGAGTCCAGCCTTTTGCTAAGTAGGTAGTTCACATCTTTCTACTATACACACTCTGTGTTATCTACTTATATTCCAAGAATCAGAGCTAATACATTACTTTGCCTACAATTACATGTCATTGTGCTCTAAAATGTTTCCAAAAAATGATTCATTTAAATATATTTTGCTTTATTGATTAATTCCAGATTGGAGGGCTAGATAACTTTATATTGTGATTCATTGAAATCTAAACCTTGACAGTTTGCTACCAAATTAAATATTCCAGACGCTAGTCAGATAACAGATACAAGTCTCTTGATATTCCTTGCAAGAGCTGATTTTGACTGAGTAATGGAATCAAATGAAGTAGTTCATTTGAGGACTGTAATTTTAAAAATACCCTCTTAGTCATATTGCTTATGGCCACTAATAATATTTTCAAACTGTATTATAAATAAAGTCTCTCCAAAATGTAATAACCATCAGAGAGTGTATCTACGGCTTTAATGGAAAAATAACTGGATTTATTCACCAGTATTGTTGTAAAATAAGTGTGCATTAAGTGGGGTGTTTTTGTTTTTGTTTTGGTATGAGATGAATGATTGGCTATATAGTTTATCACCACCAGATTCATGTTTGTTGGTTAACACACTTAGCATTCGGTTAATATACTTAGAAATCAGCCCTAGAACAATATTCTGTCTTGGACGGAAAACTGCACAGAAACCTTCCTTTGAAATAGTCTGTGTCGTAAGTTCTTCAAAGCATTGCATTACAGAAAAATAATCTTTTTCTGTAGGTTTCAAATGTTTCTAGTCCTAGAATAGTTAATTAATTCTACTTTGCTCCAACAGCTAAATTTCCACTAGCTTTTCAGCTCTGTGGTTCTGCGATTTTCATTCTTTCTTCTCTGAGGAATCTGATACTTACCCCTTTTGGTGGATGGTTGGAGAAAGATGGCGATTGAGATTGTATAGTACAGGGGTCTGCAATCTTAAACATTCTAAGAGCCATTTGGGCCTGTTCCCCACAGAAAATAAAACACTGGGAGCTACAAAACCCCTCCCGTGGCTGACTATATCTTGAGCAGCCACAAAACTGGCATATGTAGTTGAATTAAACGTTCTGTTTTCTTCTGAAACTTAACTTTTCTTGGATTTATCCATGGTTGGCCTACCAGGGGTTGAAAAACTCAATGAATCGTGTTCCAGTGGGTGTCGCACATTGGTGGTTGTGACGCATATTTTGAGTGACTGGGAGCCGCAGCAGAGGTGTGAAAGAGCCACATGTGGCTCGAGAGCCGCAGGTTGCTGACCCCTGGTATAGTAAGAGCTATACATGGGATTACATTTTGATGATAAGGACAATAAAACATTATTTGTCTGCCATTATTGCAGCATCCAATAGCAATAGCACTTAAGACCTACATGCTGCTTCACAGTGCTTTCAAGCCCTCTCTAAGCTGTTTGCAGAGTCAGCATATTGCCCCCAACAATCTGGGTCCTCATTTTACCCACCTTGGAAGGATGGAAGGCTGAGTCAACCTTGAGCCACTGAGATTCGAACTGCCAAATTGCAGTCAGCTGGCAGTCAACAGAAGTAGCCTGCAGTACTGCATTCTAACCACTGTGCCACCATGACTCAAGAGCTGCTTAGTGTCCTGCTTAAGGTGACTCATTCTCTTGTGCCATCATGGGCAATATTCTTTCTGTTTGGTAAATAAAGTCACTCAGATTCACTCAGAATTGCACCTCAGTTGGATAGTTCTGGTAGAAGTCCCTAAAACAGAGTCTGATAGAGTTAACTGGAATAATTTTTTTACCTGTGACTCCTAAGTAAATGGACAGGAGCCTGCATACTGTTGAGTTTAGCCTCTTGTATACTAGATCTAAGCCCCACATGGTTGGTCAAGGCTGTTCAGGAAGTGACCTGTTGTCGTGTTCTACTACAATGATATGCTTCCTTCTCAAGAAGCCATCACTGAATTCAAATATCCTAGAAGTCTTCATCCAATAGAGAAGGTTGTTAAGAAAGTGGTTTGGCTTCAGCTCCAGAGGATCTTGGAGGAGGTGGATTATCTATATCTATTTAAATTAAGTTTTAGGTGTGTATGCAGTATGAAGATAATCACACTAGTTAATGACCTGCAGTGGAGCCAGAATGTAGTTAACACATCCACATACTTGTATTCGTCCATCGCTCAGTGGCTTTCAATACTGTCAGTTACAATGTTCTTCTCAATTCTGCAAGGTCTGGAAGAGCACTTTCCTTGTGGCCAGTCTTAGTGTTAACAGATTTGGGGTGAGTGGGATTTACATCCTCTCACTTGTGGGGTGCCATGGGGCTTAATGCTCTTGCTTCTCTTGTAGATGAGCACAGTGGGTGAATTTTTTTTGTCAGTTTGGGGTCAGGTACCATCAGTACACAGATGATATCTAATTGCATCATTTGAGCACAGACCTTCAGGTAATGTTGTCAGTATCCCAAGCCAAAGTCTAGAAATGGTGCCAATGTTTGGAAAATTTTCAATCTCTGATCTTGGAGGGGGGGGGGTTGTATTTCCTCATTCAAAACTAGTGCAGACTCACCTCTGCTTTTGCAGATACAACTAATGCACCAATTGTGCTCCTTTTTTTGGACTAGGAAGCCCTTCAGACAGGCACTTGCATCTTAATCACCTCACAAATGGAGTTTACTCAGAGGCTACAGCTGGTCTGGAATGCTACAGCACAGTGATGGGTATGCCTTGTTATGCTCTTGGGACCCTACTATCTCGTGAACTGCACTGGTTACTAGTTGGTGTTTAGGTGCAATTTAGTTATCACCTATGCAGCTCATACTGTTACAGGGTCTAGTTAATTGAAAGAAAGTCTTTGTTTTTTCTCAGAAGTAAACTCAGGCAGAGTGAGCATGTTCTAGATCTCGTCAATTAAATAATCTCACCTAATGGGACTCAGGAAATATTCCTTCTCTGTCATGGTGCCTGTCTCCTGCAAGGGTATTCCCCTCCAGATGGCTCTATCCCATTGACACCCAGGAAACTGATTATTCTCCCAAGTATAGGATTGGATTGATTTTTTTAAAAAAAATTGTTTGTCCAGTCACCTCTATGCTTGCTTGGATTTTTTTTCTTATTCTTCTAAACCATCCAGAATCATTGGAAGTCAGGCCTCTGAATGTGCGTGAATGAATTAATGGATAATCAATCGATCAATCAGCCAGCTTTTTCATTTCACATTTTTATTTGTAAGGTGTCCAATGGGTTGTAGGAAGAAAGACAAATCATCCTACAGGTACCCAGATGGCATCTTGAAATTGCAGAATTGCATAATTAAATTAGATCTGTTCCATTTGTCTTGCAGTACCCCAAGTCATGGGTGACAATGCTTAAGGGGGACATCAGCAAAGTTAGAAACAAAACAGAATAGTGTTGCCTATAATTATTGGCCAACCTCCAGGAGTGGACATGTTTCAGCAGAAAGTTGCAAGATGAAGAGATCAGCAACATGGAAGGCCAATTTTATGATGACAGTTTTGAGAGCTGTGAATAGCACTTGAAATCAATAGTGGCAAATGACCTGAGAATGGTATGAAGGGAGTCAGTGAAGTAGGATTTGAGCTCTCTAAACCTGAAGTGGCTCTGCGTACTTTTGCCAACCTCACTTCCAGTGTTGACATTAGTGAGCATGAAAGTTCTTGTGGACTTTTCAAGAGGGCCACTAACATTCCTTATTCCATTATTTTATTCTTTCCTGCTCAAATAATTTGAGTGATGCTTGACATAAGATGGAAACAGTTCTGCCCAGTTCAGCTGACCTGTGATAATTCAAGTTTGTAAGAGGAAGAGATTGGAATGTAGGAGGAGGAGGAGGAGGAGAATAGGTAAATGTACTGGATGTGGACTGTGACTCAGTTTCCCCCTTTTTCTAAGGGAAAATTCAAAGTACAACACTTAAGGTAATCTGGCTTGCTACAAACTCAGGCTGCCCTTGGCATGATTTCTCACTTGGGTCCACCCAATGCAAGCTACCTATATTCTCCCAAAGCATATGTTAGGACTCCAGAAACCGAGGCATTCCTATGATAAAAAATAGCAGCTGGAGCATCCACAGAGAGTCGCCTTGTCTGCGCTCAACCTCATCTCCTACAAAAGGCCTTTTGAGCCAGCAAGTCTGGAATTCTGGTAGGAC